CTATTGATTATGACGTCATATAAAAATTAAAAGTAAAGTACCAGCCTATAAATGTCTCACTGCTGGGCAAAGGCCTCCTCTGTACAGAGGGTATCAGGGCATAGTCCACCACGCGGCCACACTGCGGATTGACTGACTTCAGATATCTTCGAAATATTTTTTTTATATTATTTCGAAAATATGCAGATTTCCTCGCGATGTTTTCCTTCACCGCCTAGCACGTGATAAGTGCCGGTTTAAGTATATTGAATTAAAGGCGAGCGCCCGCGGACATTGAGCTATCACGACTCAACATCGGATATGTATTAATTTAGGCGTCGTAAGAGTAATTTGTTCTAGCGATTTTAATGGCGTAAGCAAAATAATTGCGAAAAATTTGTAGTTAACCTCTAAGGTACACAATTGGATTTAATCTATTTTTCACAAACAGAGTACTGGCACAGGGAATAAAAATTTTATTTGTTTTTCTTTCATTACGCTAAAGAAGTATGACCTTCTTACGTGCGTACATAAGTACACAAAGTTTTTAATTACTTGAATGGAAAACGGTGGAGCTTTCTTAAGAACATTGCGAGTGCGGAGGAGTGTGATATGGGGTATAGTAAATTTTTATATAAAGAAATGCAGAATGCTTATGCAAGTATATATGTGTAACACACATTAAATATAATAAAACTTCGGTTCATACTCGTCAATGTCGAACACATAAGTCTGTTGTCAAACAGTTATGCAAAAGTAAAAATTACCGTCAAAGTATTGGATTTCAAAATATCGGATCTAGCTGTAACTAATAATCGTACGCGTCTCTTAAACGCCTCAACAAGATTAGACAGTTACTACCGACTTCTTTCGTTAAGTTACGCTTTATTTCGTATATATTTAGGAGAAAAATTTTCTTAATTCAATTTAAGGTCCTCTAGAGACAATCTTATGAAAGTCAATGACTACAACCGGTACACTAACCCAGGTCAGTCCTGAGGGGAATCGGCGGCAAACTGCGTCTTACTTTTGCCCTTTATGAAAATTTTGTCTTTTAATATTGTATAGAAATAGTTTAGCGTGCATATATACGTATTGTTTCGAAAATTTATATAGACCAACTATGTATTATGAAACATGGATTTTTTTTATTTTAAATATATAAAAAACCTATTGAACAGTATGCAAATTCCTAAGCAGGCCATTTAACAGTTTTTTATACTGTCTTAAAATTATTTTACTATCATTGGAACAAACAGGCCACTGACAGGCAGTATGAAAGGAGATAGTTACGAAGAATGCAACAGGAAGTTTTTCGTGCTTCGATTTTGTTTCTTTATTATGACCGACCTGTTTCCTGTTTCGGAAGCGACGCGATCGAACACGGTGTACTGCGGTCTGCTCAAGTTCTGTCAGTCAACCGCTTCACCATAAAGTATTTCGCTAACAATACCCGGCGCCTTTGCATTTTATAATTTTCCCTGCCTTTTCGTGTCTATCGCGTTTTAGTTCTATATTTCTACTGATTCAAATGTATTGTTATATAATACATTATCAATTATATATATAAAAATGAATCCCTATTTCCCTTGGTCACATCATTACGCGTGAACGGCTAGACCGATTTCACTTTTTTTTGTTGTTGTGTTTGTTATTATCAGGAGAAGGTTCTTATGAAAGAAAAAATTTAAAAAATTGCCTGAAAAAGTCTAAAAACAACACTTTTATATATTTCCGCACAAAAGATTCGTAATAATACTTAAAAATCAATTTGAACATACCATACCATAAAGTTTAAGTGTTAGTGGAGGGGTTCCGGAAGGCAAAACAAGTAAGTGACTGTGGTAAAATGTCACTTGAAATTTAAACCTACGTATGCTTAGATCTTTAAAACTACACAACGGATCTTGATGCGGTTTTTTTACTAGATAGAGTGATTCAAGAGGGAAGTTCATATGTATAATACATTGCACCCGTGCGAAGCCGTGGAGGGTCGCTAGTATAATATATAAATTACATTCATATTTCACATTCGTCACAATCATTTGAGTACATACAATTGAAGAATTGTAGTAAAACAAGAGAGCAACATTAACGCATAGTTCTTGCCTCTTCTTCTATGGGCTGTTTTTAAAAAGGGAAATGTGCTACACCTGTATAGGTTCGGCCGTTCCTATGTTTCCACTAATAAACAATATTAAATATCAAAATTATAAGAAAACAAAATGGCGGATTGATGGCGCCAAAATGTATGCTTCAACAAGTTCCGTACTACGTTCCTATGTAATGCGTCATTATAGTTTCTTGACAAAAACTGAAAAAAAAAAAGCGTTAAACGAATAAAGAAATACAGAATTTGAAATAATTGTTGAGGAAAGTAATGCAAAGTTTTCTTGGTTATGACGGACACCCTTCGTATTTTATATCGATTACTAGACGACGGCGCGTGTGCTCCGGATATACCCATTCGCCTTCACAAAAGGCTGGGGAATGGAATTTGAACGAAATTCTACTCGACTCTCAGGGAAGGCACTCACGTTGCGGTTTCCGACCGAAGCCCGCATCCATTGTTGTTTACTTATATTCCCTTGCTTCGATGCGACGAACAAATTATTTTTTTTCTAGTGTCAACTGACCCACGTATGCCTTCAGTTGGGAGTAGAAACCTAAGTAAGCATTATAAATTTTAAGTAGAAGTAGTAGTTCGATAAAGGGTGCAAGAAAATTATCGATCACGAACACTAAATCTGTTTCCAAAGGTCACTAATAAATAATTTATCCGATGATGGGCACTAGATTGACGTAACGATTCTTGTCCACTTATAATAATAACAGTTTACACGAACGATTGCATAGAAATGACGAGGAAAGCTTGCAATGAAAATATTCGAATGAAAGGAGAAAAGTAGGCTAAAATACCTACCTTTCAACTCTTGTAATTACAGATTGCCCAAAATTTCACAACATTTACAAAACGCTTGGTTTCTGTAATTAAATTGGCTTTGTTGAGAAAATTATTGTCCAATTTAACACAAGGCTCTATACCGCACTCTGCCAAATAATTTCGCCTGTCTTTGTCAGACGTATGTCCTTTTAAAAGCTTTTAGTGTGCGGTTACTGCGGTCTCCATTGTCGTAGTAGTTTCAAGCGTATATGCGGGAGTAGATTGCATCGATACTGTACTACAGAACTGACTGACGTTTGAACCAACGCATTTCCTATATTGTAATGTGGGTATTTCCAGTAAACTCTTTTAATTCTCTTCTGAACGTACACTTGATAAGCGCGGGAGATGACACATTAGACTGTACGAATACCAATTCGATTAATCTTTGATATAATCGACCTCACAGAAGACCGGCGTGACGTGGAAGCTGCGTTTCGTCCGGTGAGTGAGGTAGCCGGGGCCAACTTTATTAAAAGGTGGCAACGCGTCCGCAACCCTACGGGTGTAGCAAATGTCCATGGGCGGCGGTTATCACTTAACATCAGGTGAACCGCCAGCTCATTTGTCACCTTCTCACATGAAGAAATCTTTTTACCAATATACGTTCTCATTATCGGAGGACACACGAAGCTAGAGAATACTTACGAAAAGGGTGTATTGATCCGCGTAACCAACCGCAAATATATACAAGAAAATTAGCGTTCCCATCGATAGACCAGTACAAAAATGGCATTCAGCTTGGTACGGATTCTTAAAAATGAATGCGACCGTACAGATTTCTAAGTAGCAGTGTCCGTGGTAGGGCCGCGCAACAGTCTTCACTGTTGTACGAATGTGCAAGTCCACCCGGGGAAGTACCACGCTCTCACAGAAAACCGACGCGAAATGGAAGTGTTATATTATATTGGTTTCGTCTGGTGAGTGAAGATGTTCACCGGAGCTCACTTTATTTAAACGCTACGGGTGTTGCAAATTTCAATAGGCGGCGGTTATCACTTAACATCACGTGAACCGCCAGGTCGCTTGTCAATTCCCTACATAAAAAATCTTGTTTCTAATTACAGACGATTCGAAATGGTTCCCCTTTGGTCGTAATTCAAACTTAATAATTCAATTAACTTAATTTACGTAATGAAAATAGACTAACACCGTGCACATTTTATTACTCGTAATAGAAGCAACAGACATTCACTGTCGATATGTTACGGGAATAGAATTGTGCGAACTTCAATTATAAACCGAATACAAATAAGCTTTGGAGGAGCTCGGAAAAATTGATAATGCACAACGCAATTTGTATCTAAAGTATTCAGATCCGTGCGCCCGCAAGATGCGGCACCGAGAAATAGACGTATTGGTACTCCCTACATGAGCTTATTACGATGTATTCCAGCGAAAACAAAGCAATGACCATTCAGTGCGCAGTAAGATTATCACCGTGAAATTATATAAAACTAATAGCTGACCCGGCAAACTTTGTTTTGCCATATAAATTATTTAAAAAAAAGTTTGGGGTGGACCACCCTTAACATTTAGGTGGATGAAAAATAGATGTTGTCCGATTCTCCACCGGTGATATGCACAAAAAATTTCACGAAAATTGTCGAGCCGTTTCGGAGGAGTTCAATTATAAACACCGTGATACGAGAATTTTATATATTAGATTCATGTTGCTGTGAGTTCAATCAAAAAAGTCAAAGAAATAAATAATTGTAAATGTCCCTGTTGAAACAGTAATGAAAAACCAAACTAGTATGCAGTATGTTCAGTTCTTTGAAATCCTTTAGTGTTTACATTTTCCTCGCATTAATGCATTTCGCAATAATATTCAAAAGTAAATAACCAAATATTCATTTCGACGATATTTTCATATGCAAAAATATATCCGTTATCCAGACCGCTATTACTGTATAGTATGAGTAAATAAATTGAAATGAATGTTCCTTTAAAAATTCTCGGTTAATGGAAAATTGTTTACCGATTTATAATTAAAACTTTAATTGAAATGATCTTTTAATAATAAATCCGCGTCGAAAAACTCGCTTCGACCCGTGTTTCCGTGTCAACTATACGTATGGCCCCCGGCGGTCTGCCGTGGGAAATTCCCGGTACGTTGGGCAAGCAGGTTAGCGGCAGCGGTGGCAGGTTTCTCGCACCAGTGGCGCCGCTGCCATCGGCCCGTGGCAGCCCAAATTGGGCCGAGTTTGGAACGCAAAATTCCGAATGTCGGTCAGAGACGCTTTGGAGCTACACGAAGTCGTCGTTAGACATAGGTACTTTTATAATATGCTTTTGATCCACACTCCTTTGAGCATGAAAACTGCGGAAAATACTGCTTTTTTAATATTTCTACATACTTTTAACCGTGGTAGGACGACGCAATAGCTTTGGCTGTTGCAAGAATGGGACCCGGACGGCAGTAAGTACCAAGTACCCCTTATAAGATCGGCGTGAAGTGGAAGTATGGAAGGAAACACTTCTACTACGCTTCCCCGGTCGAGAAGGTTACTCGTTAAGCAAAAGAAGCCACTACCTAACTCTGTCACAACAAGGTGGGTTGAAAATTTGAAAAAATCTCGAAATACCTCAAAAACTACCTCAGGAAACATATGTTTAGTGTAGGTTATAAATTGTCACACGACATCTGAAACAAACCAAATTAATGATTGATGTTGAAATTAAAGAATTAATGATGTTGACCGAATAATTACCGGAGAAATGATAAGAATAATTAAAAAACTTAAATTAAAGATCAAATTCATCATCAGAAAAAGTTATTAAGTTAGGTCTAAATGACTTATTTAATCGTAAGATATCAAAGCTGATAAAGTAATATTTATTTAGTAATTAAACCACAATAGAATATGTATGACTCGTAAAAAATATAAAAATTCTGAAATTGGAACAGAACGTGTAGACAAGGTTTAGACCAATTACTGGTAACCATAACGAACGGCAAACATCAAACTACCAATTATCATTTATTAGATGATATTTATTTCCGTTTCTCTAATTATAGTGCTGACTAAAAGAAACTATATAACATAACCAAAAATATTTATGTAATTCACAGTAATTACACCTATCTAGGAAACATGAATTCCTTCTCCTGCCCTTATCCTGCCCTGGTGCTGGTGGGTTCAGCATGTTTATCATATGGTATGCGGTAACACAAAAATTTATCTCGAGTGGGAATCGAACCTACGCCCCCTCGTCCGAGCTAATTCCTTAGCATCTGCGACAAAGATTCACTCAATCTAAAAGAAATTTACCGAACACACATCTGTTTTAAATTAAGGTAAGTTGAGTGTCAATCATATGGATGTAACGTACACATAGTTAAAGTAATATCAACATTTTGAATCGTAACGCGTTTTATGTAATGCTATGTATAATCTAAAATAAATTCGACGTAACCGATGGATAAAAATGTATCGAACTGTTGCTTCAAATCCGCTTAAACTCTGACAAATTGAAAGCAGTCCGCAGAAAATTGGTGCATCGAGGCTTAAGTGATGATTGGAGCCTTCATGATATTCCACGTGGTTGTATGGCCATAGAAATAAAGGTGGATTTTCATTTGAAATAAACAAGTTATAGCATCTTGGCCCTTACATTTTTCCCCTCAACATAGGAAATTAATATGTCAATCAGTTTGTCGGAACTTGATTCCCGCTGAAGCGGTTCTCTGTCAATGATGAAAAGCTGTACGACGCGTAATTTAAACGCATGCAGAATCACATTGCAGTTCGCTAAAGCCCGATTTCAATTATCCATGTTATAACGCACGTTTATAGAAAATTGCCTCAATTGAATAGCAATATATATGCCCAATCTAATTGGAGTTATCGAAATCGAATTTCGGTTCAGTTTGCCCATTTATTTCATCGTTTCTCGTTTTATTCGTGTAATAATAATTAATCCAGGCAACGGTTTGGTTAGTAGATACTGTTGCTAAATCAATGTAATTTATCAATCCGTCATTTGTGAATCAGCAGTTGTAATTGCATTCAAAATAATACTGTAAATTACAAAACGTTACTGCTTAAATTTTAAGGTTTGTAAATAATACGTCAAGAAGAAATGATATTAAAGATTATACATCTATAATAAAAGAGTAGAATCGGCGTATCTGTACATACTATAATAAAAGAGTAAAATCGGCATGTCTGTACATTCGCACTTGGTTGGTTTTTAAATTTATATAATCTAACAATCATCATCATTTTACAGACCATAATATAATTATAGTTAACTATAGTTTCATCCAATTCAGCTGTAGCGATTACTTTTTTTTAAGTTGATATAACTTTTTTATTTATGAACCCATTTGAATAAAACTAACACTAAATGTTAAGTGAAGTACTACAATCAGTGAAAGTTGAACCCAAATCGGTTAACCCGTATCTGAGATTAACGCGCATAATTGTTTGTTTTGGGTTCTACTGCGTTGGGGATCTTTAATATTAGTTTTTCTCAAATATCTTCCATGTACAGACAAAGATAAGTTACATCTTTATTATATGTATAGATATTTGTCTGTAAAAGTCTGAATTTTTCGCTTTCACCCTATTCCACGCGGTCGTAGTCGCGGACAACAGCTAGTTAAATCATAAAAGAATTTATTTTGCAAAAGAGATATAATTATTACTAGCAGGCCCGCACAACTTAATCTATTCAAAATCTTTTATTAACGATTTCCATTGTATTTCTTTACCCGAAAAATAACCTAGGTTATTTTTCGTTTGGACTTTTAACATAGCACCATCTGTTAGAATCACATAGAACTCACAGATAACTATAACTCTGTCATAAATCATATTAAATAATAATTTACATCTTATCCTACCTTATCCCACATCTCTAGTTGGATCAAACTGCAAACAGTGTGCAAAATTTCATTAAAGTCGGTTCAGTACTTCAGGAGTTCTTCGCTTACAAACAACGTGACCCGAAATTTATATATATATATATATATATATATATAAAACGATAAGTAAGAAGAATTTTAAAACATGCATTGTCATATTTTTGGATAGCTTTGGATTTCTGCATGTGGGCCACAGGCCACAAAAAGCAAATATTCCAAATAGTAAAATGCAACTATACAGAACAACAATATTAGAAAGAGAGATTACCTTGATTAGAAAGAGAGATTATCTTCGATGATTGCATATTGATGTGAGGTAACTATAGTCCATGAAAGACTTTAATAAGCTGATAGCTAACATTTACTAGTTGGAGTGTCATTTTATTTTATTTTTATTTTATGGAAAACCAACAGCTAATGTAATATAAATAAGAATAACAAGCCAGCCAATTACAGGTTTTCACTGATAGAAACTAAATGAATTGAGGTTAAATCATCATGTTGGTCCGAGTCAAGTCTTGAATATAATTAATGGCATTCGAGAGACTAAAAAGGTGTTATGTAGCTGTTTAAAGTTCATACCTCTTATACATAAATGTATAAGAGGTACGAACGTTGCAATTAAGCCTGCGGAACCCTAGGGGTGGTACTGGTGACTATATGTATACTTATGTAAAGTAAGCGGTCAAGCGCAAAGGGGTTGCAATCCGTTTTGACACGGCGAAATTGCTCCACGTAACGGCTAGGCGAAACTAGCCAGTGCGATTTTTGTTCGACGTTTGTGGTCAACAACACATAATTTTACTGTTCCAAAATCGCGTAACCACAGCAAAGAAAGGTATACACGCAAAGCTAATCGTATAAGGAAATTATAAAAATGGAATTTATTGAGAAATATGTTTATCAATTTGCAAAATAATACAGTACCTTATTAAACAGTGATAAAAATTAAGCGCAATAACATTCAAATAAGGTGACCCCGGCCCAAAAGCTTATTCTGTTGTTGAGAAAAGTATAATTATAGGTTTTAGTAGTGGTAGGGCTTCGCCTCAGTCTTCGCTCTTACACGAATGGGCAGGTCTGTCCGGGAAGTACGTCGACCTCACAGAAGACCGGCGTGAAGTGCAAGTGTATACTTCTGCACTTCGTGTCACGAGTGAGGTAACCAGGGTTCACTTTATTGAAAGCGTTTTAGGCAACCCTACGGGTGTTGTAAATGTTCATGGGCGGCGGTTATCACGTAACATCCGTCGACCCGCCAGCTAGCTCGCCATCTTCTTACATATAAAAAAACCTAAAGGGCCGCAGAAGCGTTTGCTGTTGCACGTATGAACAGGCACGGGGAAAGTACCAAGGCTTTAGAAAAGACCGGTGCAAAGATTGTGAAGTTACTTTGTGAAACGACTTGTCGCCAGCGGTATTTCCAGACCGATACGACTTAGGGACCTTCAAGAAGAGAGCCTATTCCTACCTTAAAGGCCGATGTTGCAAATGTCCATGGGCTGCGGTGATCGCTTATCACCAGGTGGCCCGCATGCTCGTTTGCCTCCTATTCCCATTAAAAAAAAAGATGTATTATATATAAATTTTCCTTTTCATCTGGTGAGATCGGTAGCCGGGGCCTACCCAAAAGGTTGTTCTCGCAAACATAACCCAACAGGTTTTGTGGATGTTCATGGACGGCCGAATTATTATTAGGTCCATCGACTAATACTTTGACATCTTCTCTCGTAAATAACAAATCTTAATATAAATCAGAAATACTCGTGGCAGATTATTGTTCTCAAGCCTATGTGAAATAATTAAAATCTGTCTTAAGCACCAACTAACGGCTTCATTAAAAGTGTTTTATTCACCCTGAACACAACATTGTTTCGAACTTGATCTCTACGAGAGAGAAAAGTTAAAATAATTTATGTCTCACACATGTATTGAATTTAGTTCACGTGGTATACTATTCTTCTTCTTTCTCCATCCTTATCCCGCGTAGGTGGGATCGGTACAACATGTGAACCATATTGTTACTGGTATATGCTGGATTTGTTTATTACCTTGTTGTATGTCTTTTATATCACAATCTGTTAATTTCGCTACGGGAAACTGAATGAGATGAGAGATGCCATCAGATCCGCCTCGGCGGTTGGCAGTAGAACACCGTGCACTTCCAAGAAAATACTGGTACTCTGCCACGTATGGTTACTTCGTGGAATCAATTTCGCCAACTGGGCCAATACGGCTTAGGGATCTTCAAGACGAGCGAATACCTTAAACGCTTTTACACGTCCTCTAGAGCTTTTAACGGTCATTGAGTTGTCCGTCATCTCATCCATAAAAGGACAATTAATTCTATCAAACATACACAAACAACTTTATCGCACACTGTACAAAGATAAGTTAATAAACAATTAGAAACCAAATATTCCTTTGGACGGCATCGTTAATTGCTGCTTAATATTGCCATATAATATGCAATAATAGTACAGGTGTGCACAATATGCAAATCAGGTCACAAAGGCCTGTTAGACAGACACCTCTTGCTTCTGTTTACACGTTAATTTACCATTTAATTGAACACCCTGAAGGTGGTGGCCACATTCGCATATTGAAATCAACATGAGGGTTAGTGGCGGTTTGGGTTGGTTCGTAATCGGAAGTTACTGATTCAAGTGACTGGCTGAAAATAATAGCCTATATTATTGCTTCTGTGACCTGACATACCTTATAACTTTATGACTAATGGCATTATATCATATTTCAGTTTCTGCGGAATGTTAACATGGAACCCAACTATCAACTGATACGTGAACTTATTGACTGTGCTCATACATATGCGCTACCCGATTCGGTGCAAGCGTCCCCCTTATTTACATGCATGACGATGAGGGTTCGTTGCTTAACACATACAGCCCTCGCCCCCTCGATAGAGAAAGCGGTACATGCAAACACTTTCCGGCAGACAGTATCAATAATACGGAGAAGGACACTCCAACACTGTTTTATGAATATATATTTGATGACTCCGTGGCGTAGTTGCCAAGGTATTGGCTTCGGCGTCGGGGTAGTGGGTTCGATTCCCACACGGGACAACTATTTGTGTGACCCACAGATAGTTGTTTCGCATCTGGGTGTTTGTCCGCGTGAAGTTTATGTCTTGTAAAACGTCCTTACCACACAGGATAATGTTATCCTAAAGTAAGAACAATGTTTAAAAAAAAAAGAAAAAAATATACACGTATATATATATTTGGTTTTGTGACTAAAGAAATAGGAATTTGGCAGTCACTGTTTCCGCGCAGC